TATTTTATAGTCTCACGTTTTCTGGTCTGGCTTTGGTGGGGACTTAGGGCTGGTTAGGGGGATATTCAATTGAAGAAAAAAGGCTGGATTCAAGCCCCAGCTGTGGGACAACTTAGGGTGAGTCATGGCCCAGAAATGTAGTGTCAGGGAGTGAAGCCAGAGGGGAAAATATTTATAACTGCCGGAAACATGATGAACCTGTCAAAAATACATGAAATCAGCTAAATAAATTGGGAAGAAAAAAGCAAGGTCTTGTTTGATTTTGTGAGTATAAACATTTTTTTTTTAATCACCAAGAAAGAGAAAAATAATTCCTCTACATACAGCTCCCTTATGTAAATGATGCTTGGGGGAAATCAAGGAAAGTGTCTGTGTTCTCTTGAGCTGAAGCAGGTTAGAGAGATGGGATCAGCCATAGGAGGCAGTTGGGAGAGAGAATATGAATTCAATGGACCCAAGAGATCAAAGCCAACATAACCATGGGGCTACAACCCTCCCCCCAAGAATCCTGGGAGACTTGGGGTCATGCTGGGCTTCTGTGAATTTGGGGTGGGGATCGAGATGTTTTTATATCTGAGCGAGAGAGAGGAGCTCTTAGGCTCGGAGGACAAGCACCTAGGCCATGGTGTTGGGTATAGCAGGGTCCCTCTGCTGCCCAAGTTCTGGGACTGAGAGAACTCGTGCTCTGGGGGGCAGGGGGGCAGCTGGGTGGATCCAAGCAGAGCAAAGTTAGATTGAAAAAGAACTGTTTCCACAGCAGCAAACACTAAGGTTCAGAAAGAATGTTGTTTCATGGGCAACCAGAGAAAAGGAACCTGGGATTTGGCCAGCACCCCGGGGTCGCCAAGATGCGGATCACAAAGACTGGGGAGACGCTGGAGACTCTGGAGGAGAGGAGGGTCCGATGGGCTGCGAGGGAGCCTGGATTTTGACCTGGCTGAGGTGGGTCCAGGGAAGGGACTTCAGAAAGAGACCTCTATGGGCCGCCGCAGGGGAAAGGTCGGCGGTAGTAGATCAGGGACAGAGAGGCCCGCCAGGGGGCGCCACACAGCTCCATGGGCAACAAAGAAGCCTGTCTCCCAACCTAGCCTCAGTCACTTCTTCCTTGGGGTGCACGGGGAGGCTGGCCTAAGGGCGTTCCCACTGAAACTCGCTCCAGGAGGCCAAAAGGAGCGCATCTCTTTGAATGATTAATAGTGACTGCCCGGAGCGCTGTCAGGAACTCCGTCAGGTGGCCTCCAGCCCCGCGAGAAGAGCCACGGCTGTTGATACCGATGGGCGATGTCTGCGGTGGGGGCAGCCCGGGGGTGTGGCAGCGTCCATTCATTCATCCTCGCACAGCCCATAGCTGTCCACCTGCTCCTCCTGGGCCCCTGTGTTCTGCCCTGGTCCTCTGCGGGCGCTCCGTTCTCCAAGGCTCACCCGCAGAGGGAGCAAAAAGCCCCAGGCCAGCCTCCACTCCGCTCTAGATCTTCTCCCTCGGAGCCTCTTTAAGGTTTTGGAAAAGGCCTGTGTCCCATTCTCTCGGGGTCTTGAACAAATTAGCTGCTCGGTAGTTATTTGTGAAAGGACGAAAACAAATGCGTGAATCATCGTATTTCCCACTTTTTATTCATTTAACAGAGAAACCAATATATACATTTTGCAAGGCCTTTTCGAGGATTTGGAAATGGATTAGACCCAATCTTTGACCTCTAGGAATTCATAGCACCATCTGGAGGTTAGATATGTGCCCAAATATCTGTAAAACCAGGTCATTACGTACAAATCCAAGTTCCTTGAAGGTACCTGGCTTCAGGAAGGCAGACAGAGCTTGTCCAGGGTCTGGGGTCTCAGAGGGAAGACGGGTGCCAAGGTGAGAACCAGGATGGGGGTGGGTAGCAGAGGATGAAGCCAGCTGCCCTTCTCTTTGCCCCCTCTCTGTGCCTCCCAAGGAGAGCCCCACCCGCCATGCCTCCCTGTCCTACTGGAGCCTGGAAACAAACCACAGCTGAGCAAGTGGGGCAGCAGCAAGAGGTCCGAGTGAGAAGGGCTGTACAAAACCCTTTTGAGGAAACACTTAAAGATGTCCAAGTCTTGCTTTGCCCCTGGACACTGGCGATGACTTTGTCGCTCAGGAAACAGCATGGCAAGAGGGAGGCAAGTGCAGTACCCGCTACAGCCCCCAGGGGGCCTCCTCCCATGGCTGATCCCAACACAGCGCGGGCCTCGGCCAGGGATTGTGGGCAGGAAGGGGCTCTGTCTGTCCCTCCAGCTCCCAGCACAGTCCCCGCACACAGCCACCCTGTTCCCTACTCCTGGGACCTACCCCTCCTCTTCACTGGACGATGAGAAAGGGGAAAGGGGCGAAGGTGGGGTAAAGGGAAAAGGACAGTCCAGGGCCTTGGAGGACTTGGGGTGGTGGAGGGAGGGTAGGAGGAGGTCTCAGGCCAGAGGGGGGGGGCATAGGGACCCAAGGGAGTACGGAGCGGTGAGACAGAGTCCACTTGGGGCCCTGGCCAAGCTGTGAGCCCAGAGAGGGGCCCGGGGACTTGCGGACCGCCCTCCCCAGAACCTAAGCCTCACTTCTGGGGTAGTATGAGGCTGGAACCAGGAAGCAGTGCAGCCTCCATGCACAGAGTTTTTGAAGCATCATATGAAGCTTGGTGGAGCCAGAAGCCCCAAATCCTGGAGCGGCTGTCTGGGTTTTTGTCCTGCGGAGAGCAGGAAGCATGCATACTGCAGGAACCAGGGACACACACAGAGGTATAGGCGCAGACATGTGCGTGCACTCTCATGCAGGTGCCCTGGGTTCTCTGTAGCTGGTGGCTGATGAGCCATCACAGGGCTGTGGGGCCGGGACTCAGAGCAAACAACAAAGCAGGAGGTTGTGTCACAAACAAGCTGGCAGGGGCTCCGGGACCAAAACCCTCAGCTGGACCCGGACACATGAAGAGGGTGGCTCTTCATCGTTTTTACGTGGGCGAGGGTCTTTTTGCATGGTTGCTTATGTAAAACCATCTAAAAGACTGTCAAGGAGATCCGAACCTATCTTAAACGGATTTCCCTTCCTGAGGAACACATGCAAGTGTGTACATGGGTGTGCATGGGAACACGAGGAGAAGTGTATGTTTGTGTGGGTGTGTGCAAAAACACACAAGCTGCTGTGCTGGTGGGGAAGCTGGAAGGAGAAAGACTTTTAATCATTCCCCACACACGTGTGTGTGCGTGTGCACACAGAGCTACACGCACACGCACATCCATCCATCTGCATTTTCGACCCAGCCTGCATCCCCATAAACTGCTTTTAGGTCTGAGACCCAATCCCGCTTTAAACCAGTAGTTCTCCACCTTGCTGGCACACTGGAATCACGTAGGGAAATTTAAAAATCCCAGTGCCCCGGCAGCACTCCAGACCAATACATTATAATTTCTGGAGATGGGACTTTGGCATAAATACTTCATATCAATATTTAATCATCTCCTGAGGTGATTCCAATGTCCTGCCAGGGCTAAGTATTCCTATGCGTAGAAAACCCTTCTCCTATTCCTCTGCACAGAAAACTTCTATTCATCCTTCAAGACCCAACTCCCAAGGCCCTTTTGGAGGAAAGCTCTTCCTGACACCTGCCCAGGGAGAGCTGGTTTCTCCTTTCCTGAAGTTCCCAACACCATCTTAGATATCTGACTGCGTCATAATTATTTGCTTGTCTATACAGAACCATGACCTCTGTGAAGAACAGTGCTATGCGAGAGCCATCTGTCTATTGCCGACACCTAGCTCCACGTCTGATACGCAGCCAGTGACAGCTTCAGAATGCAATAGAAGTATGTAATGAAGGCCAGGAACAAGAGGGGGTGGGGAGTGGAGGCCATGGATTTCTCTCGGTGGGCAGGCAATGGCTCTGGTCCTCTGGCAGCAGGATGGGGGTACCTCCCTATGTTTTAATAACAGAAAGGGTCCTCTTATGTCAATAGGTTTGATGCTGATTGGTCCACACTTCCTGTTTCCTTAGGAAGTGCCACAAGCATTACTCAGAAATTCAGAGAGAAGAGAGAGTGGGGTTGTGACCTGTGCCTGGAGTCCTAGGTGACCAACCTCTCTCTCTCTCTCTTTAGAGATGTATTTAAATTTATTTAGAGAGAGAGAGTGTATGAGCAGGGGGAAGGGCAGGGGGAGAGGGAGAGAGAGAGAGAGAGAGAAAAGCCTCAAACAGACTCCCAGCTCGGGACTCGATGCCAGGGTCCTGGGATCATGACCTGAGCCGAAATCAAGAGCCGGCTGTTTCACCAATGGAGCCATCCAGGTGCCCCTTTTCTGAACCATTCCCTTGTCACCCCCATCCCAAGCCCACTCTATCTGGCTTCCAGGGCACCTTTGCTTTGAGGAGCACTATGAACATCTGGGTCCCCTGCTTCTGTCCCAGATCCAGAACACCTCAACAATGTGGTTCTTGCCCAAGGGCTGTGCATGGGAAACGCTTGTGCAAGGGAGGGAGGCTCCGGTCAGCCCACTGGGCCTGCAGACACTCCAGCCCCGGCCCAGGAGCCTGAGGAACAGACAAGAGAAGGTGTCCTGGGGCTGAACGAAGTGAGTGAGGTCTGAGGTGGAAAGAGGTCCTCACATTTTTGACCAGGCGTCCTGGTCACTAGTCCAGGCTGAGGTCATGGTGCGGGCCCCCTACCCCCTGACACACACAGACATACACACTCACATACTGCCCACCTCCTGAAGGGTTCTCAACCTCTAGGCCGAGACCAGCCTCTCCCCTCCCCCACAACTGCCCCTCAACTGACCAGCCACAGTCCTGGTTGCCCACAGAGTCCATTCAACACGAGCAAGTGTTTTCTTTACATGTTGGGGCTTTTACTTCAATTTGAAGCAGATGGTTGAGCACAGATGTGAACAGCTTTGGCCTTTTGAGCACAAGGAAGAACAGGCCTTGGCTTTGAACATACCTTCCTCCCTCCCCAACTTACTGGCCCGTTCCCCTGGTCCCTTCCTCCCCTCTGCACCCCGCTCCCTGCTGCATAACTGGGAAAAGACTACTGGCCTTCGTGCAGGGCACCATCTTGTTTTCCCAGCCAGGAGTGAGAGCTACAGGCAAGGCGTGGCTGGCTGGCCTGGCTGGGCAACAGAGACACTTTAGGTGACCTTGGTGGGGCAAATCCCTGGGGTGGAATACAGGGTGGTCAATATTGCTTCTTTCCTCCCTTTCTCCTTTGCCTTGATGCTCAGGGCCCAAGGAGCCTGGGCCCAGGGAACACTGAGAATCAGGGTCAGAGGCCTAGGCAGCCAGTGCAAGGGCGAGAAGAGGGCCAGGATCTCATATCCCACTCCATGCAAGTGCCCCCAGCCCTCTCTCACCACCCCCAGAAAGTTTATCTTGTACCCAGCCGGCTCAGGGCCCAGTGTAGAAAGAGAGTTCCAGGTCAGAGGGTCGAGCCCTTCCAATGGTCACCAAACGTCCATCCCTTCCATGAGTTTCCAGTGGGATCATTGCTGACTCATCTTTGGCTTGGGATGGCTTTGGCAAGAGGAGGAGCATAAGTCATAGAGCAATGGTGCGGCTTCTCATTGAGGGGTGTCCTCACAATTTGTTCAGTGTCTCTGTGGAATCTTTGGCAATGAATTTCTGCAGCCCTGGGCAAGGGGAAGGCTTTGCTCTCCCCCTCCCCACCAGGCAGAGGGCAAAGTGCGGAGTCACCAGAGTGGCCGAGGGGGGACAGGAGGGTGAGAGGGAGGCAGGTGTGCCCCTGCCCCACCCTGAGAGGCAGTGGTCTGAGCATCTGGTGGTATCTTGGAGAAGAAGACAAGGCTGGATTTGGAGAGCTCACCTTCTCCTCAGGCTTGACCAGAAAGAAGGCGCACAGCAGCATCCTTGGTCTAGCCTGGGACCAGTCACTCCTGAAAGAAACAACCAACAGTCAGAAGAAACCCTACTCTGCTGACTCCTGTTTCTTAAAGGCCAACTGGTCGCAGGGTCTGGCACCTTCAGCCCCTCCTCTTATTTACTCCTTGCTGCCCCAGGAGGGACTCCTCTGGCCCCGGCAAGCGACTGCATCTTGACGGGCTCCATAAGGGACGCACCCAGCATCTGAACCCAGGACCCGTTGCCCCCAGAGCCCACACTGCATTTTAGAGCCATTGCTGATTTTGTCGGTTTGGGGAAATGGGCAAAGGCTACAGGGGCTCGAGGGAGCTCGGAGATACCTGTGTTGATTGCACAACCCTCCAGCTCACACCCCATGGGGATGGCCGTCCACAGCTCCTCTTCCCTCCACTGTTCAGACAAAAGCACTGTTCCTGAGTCACCGGGCCAGCTAGAGGTGCGGCCCAACGACCCGCCCGCTGGGGGAACCTGAGAGAGGTCACTTAACTTCTCTGGGCCTCAGTGTCCTCATCTAGAAAATGACACCACTGGACCAGCTCAGTAATTGCCAAACTTGCTTTCAAGCCATAGAAATGTGGTCTGAACTGTGGAGGCCTAACCCAGAACACAGAGAGACCTGGTCTGGTGTATCTGCAGCAGCGGGGTAGGGGGGACACAGGGAGAGAGGGTTGCAGGGTACATTCCCTCCAGTGTGAGGCCTGGGACAGCTCTGAGAACCCAGGGTGCTAAGGAGCACAGTTTGGAAACCACTAGGTTAGATCATCTGTAAGGGCGTCACCGTGCTGACCGCTGGAACCTTCCCTCTGGCCACTGGCCTTGCTCTTGCTCCTGAGAACGGGGACCACAGGGTGTGACTTGCTATCAGGAAGGGGCAGGAGATGGAGAAAGGTCACAGGAACCACTGGGACTTTAGGTTTTGGGGGAGGTCAGAGCGGTAGGGATGGGTCCGTCAGGACACGTCCTCCCAGAACAGGTCAGGGGAACAGGGGTGCTTTACCCTGGCGCGGCCTGCTCCTATGATAGCAGGACTCATGCAACCATCCCCGACAACACAGCTAAGACGCTTGTTTTTGAAGTAAAACATCTGTGGGGCCCCTCCACCCCACCAGGGGCCTTGCTCGTGTCCCCCTCTCATCGGTGGCACAGGAAACTGGCCACAGCAGGATCTGAATCCGGACCCGCGGTGTTTATTCGGGCGCAGAGAAGCTGCTCCGGCTGAACTGCAGGCCTGGGGAGCCAGGTCGCAGCCAAACCACAGGGCTGGGGGGCTGCCAACCGCAGGCTCTGGGGAGCCTCGGGGAGCCTTGCAGGCCTGGGGCGCTGGGCTTGGCCCATGGCCCAGGGGCGAGGCGGGGGCAGGGTTGGAGGCAGGGGGTCCAAGGGGAGGGGTCTCCCAGCTAGCAGAGGCCAGGCAGAAGAAAGGCAGGGGGAGAGGGGAGGAGGGAGCACTGCTGCGTGCACCCACGTCCAGCGCTGGCCCCGGCAGGAATCTGCTTTCTGTTACCGCACGTCTGAGGAGGAGGATTAAGAGGCGGGAAGGAAACCCATGGGGATGGCACGGGGTCTGTGGTCCAGGGGTGATTTACAGCCCGCGTCAGCCGGGCGCTGACTGCCTGGGCGGGCCCTTTCGGGCCGGGCTGCCTGTGGTCTGGGGAAAGGCGCAGAAAGCTGGCCCGGCCAGCCGCCCAAGCTGTCTTACTGGCCACTCCATCAAGGCGCCGGGACCCTGTCCCAGGCCCTCTGTTGGCTCTCGGACCCTGCGGAAGCCATGACCACTGCCCAAGGGCAACCAAGAGCAATGGAGCAGTTTCCTCCCGCCAAAGCCTGACCTTCAGGACTCCATTCCACCCTTTCCCTGGTGTCTACGCTGGACCTGGGTTCCCACCACCCACCTCTGCGCAGGAATCCCAGCATACGCACCAACCATCCAAGGAAGTCTTATGGCAAATGGGGCAGGGTGGGAAGAATACAATGGGGTCTTCGGTGTCAGCACCTCCTCTGAGATTAAACAGCTTTGTGACCTTGGGGAACTTACCATCCCTCTCTGTGCTTTAATTCCTTCACTTATACAGCAAGTACAAGTACACAGACATAGGCATGTGCTTTCCCCCAAAGGGTCCTTTGTAGAATACTAGACGGGTGAGGTATATCCCATGAGTCTGGGAAACACCACAAACCTAGGCCTCATCTTGGAAAGTCACTACATATATTAGCATATTAAAGGCTCTGAAAAGTCCTGCAGTAAGGAAATTTGCCTGGCTTTATTTATCCACTATCTGCTGAATTCATATGATCCTGTGATCACAACTGCACTTTGAGGTGATCCGTGGCCCTTCCCTGGACTTCAAGTATCTGCTTCTTTCCTACCTCAGCATCCCAACCCCAATGTCCAGTGGGGGCTGCAGGTTGGTCCAGCCTCAGAGTTCTTCTAGAGACCAGCTATGCTTGAGGGATAGGAGACAAACCCATGGATGCCCCTTCAGAAGGGGCAGGGGGTGTGTGTGTGTGTGTTTTAATTACAGGCAGGTAATTGTAAATATAGAGGAGAGGGCTGGCAAATATTCCCCATTGTGACAACCATACCACAGACACCTTCTCATGGAACCAGGGGCAACATCCTGTGTCACCCCATGTGAGAAACACAGCTTGAGAGGGCCTCTCGACTCCCATCCAGCTCTGGTTTTTTATGGGGGGGTGTTTCCTCTGGGCCAAGGCTCTGGGTACAGCTGGGAAAGGCTCTTGGCTCACTGCCCGAAGGACACCCTAAACCCTAGCCCCTTACCATAGAAGATGTCCTTTAAACAGGGTCTGATGTGAAAATAAACTTTGATCATGACTAGACAAGATGGCCTCTCAGGTCTCTTTCTGCGGGTCTGCCGTGCTGAGTGTGAAGGAGGGGATTTGGTCAGTGTGGTAAAGCGGTTGAGTTCATCAAATTTGAAATCGTCTTTTGATCTGTCCATTCATTTGTGGTCAGAACATCAGCTCCACGAGGACAGGGACACCGTCTGTTTTGTTTGCTGATGTAGCCCCAGAGCCTAGAACAGTCTAGACACACAGGAGCACCTCAATAAATATTTGTTGAATCAGGAAATAAATATTTTCAGTCACGGGCATTTTATTTACTATAGCTTTTATATACCACGGAATATGTTTCCTGTTTCAAATGTAACTTAGCATTTTTGTAAATATGCCTGTGCTTCAGGGAAACGTCGGGTTAATTGTTGTGAATCCTGGAGCAATGCTGCACCTTTTTCACTTTTGTTGAATTCCCTTTTTTTTTTTTTTTTTATTTCTAATGATACCTCCTTCGCTTACCAAGTTTGTCTCTGGCTTTATGAGGACTGGCTTCCTCTCTCGATCACTTCTGTGTACAGCAGCACAATTTTACCATTTTAGGGGCCTTTTTAAAAAATGACTCTAACTGCCTTCTTTTTTTTTTTTTAAGATTTTATTTATTTATTTGACAGAGAGAGCAAGAGAGCACAAACAGGGGGAGCAGCAGAGGGAGAGGGAAAAGCAGGCTCCCCACTGAGCAGAGAGCCCGATGTGGGGCTTGATCCCAGGACCCTGAGATCATGACTTGAGCCGAAGTCAGACGCTTGACCCACTGAGCCACCTAGGCGTTCCTCTATCTGCCTTCTAAGGTTTTGCCTTTTAAATTCATTTTCAGTTTATGATCTGCATATTCATTTTCAGTCCACTCTACCTCCTTAACCATTTTTAACTATTTTAGAATTATCCTTTTTAAATATTTTAGCAGTTTGGAGATAGCCTTCCAGATGCAGAAAAGGATCCAATGGAATGAAAATCCTGACAGCTTTGTTTGTTTGTTTGTTTCTCCTAAAAACAACAGTCAGATTTCAAATGTTGTTTTAAAACAAAACTATGGAAGATGAGCAGGGAGTACACGAGAGATGCATTTTCAACCCCCACACTATTAGGTATTATTTTAGCTTTCACTTCTCAGTAACTAACATGTGGGCTGGGAAGGGGGTTTGTGTTTGGTTCTAAATGCAGAACACTGGGGTCCACTGTGGCCCCAGAGTCAGCAGACCGCGGGGCCCTGGGCAGGTGGGTTTAATCTCTCCATGCCTCAGTTTCCCCATCTTTAAAGTGAACACAGTAATAGTACCTGCCTCCCAGGCCAGTTGCGGAGAATCAATGAGACAATGGAGCCGTGCCCCCAGCAGGGCCTCGGACACCATGCAGCCATGGGAAAGTGCTGGCTCACCTCTCTGCAAAAAGCTGGGTCCTTCCTTTGATGGTGTTTGAAAACTTAGAAAAGGCATCACTTGGGGCGTCTGGGTGGCTCAGTGGGTTAAGGCCTCTGCCTTCGTCACAGGTCATGATCCCAGGGTCCTGGGATTGAGCCCTGCGTCGGGCTCTCTGCTCAGCCGGGAGCCTGCTTCCTCCTCTCTCTGCCTGCCTCTCTGCCTACTTGTGATCTGTCAAATAAATAAATAAAATCTTTAAAAAATAAAATAAAATAAAATAAAAAAGGCATCACACTCTGAAAAGTCTCAGGTAATCAGAAATAGTCACATTGAACCAACTGTCATCTTGACCTTGTTTTTGATGGATTTAAAAAAAAATAGGCACAATTTCTAAAATTATGCAAGGCATGTCCATCACCTCATGAATGGGTAACCAAAATGTGGTGTATCCACACAAGGGAATATTATTCGGCCAGAACAAGGATGGAGGTACTAACACATGCCAGAACATGGATGGACCTGGAAAGCTGTGTGCTAAGTGGAAGAAGCCAGTCACTAAAGGCCACGTGTTCTAGGATTCCATTCACATGAAGTGTCCAGAGCAGGGAAACCCACAGACTAGCGGCCCCTGGGGGGACAGGGAAGACAGTGGGGTAGGAAGGGAGAACTAAAGGATAGGGGTTGTCTTCCTCCCCTGAGAAGAAAGTTCTAAAACGCACTGCGGTGATGGCTGCACATAGCAGTGAAAATACTAGAAACCACTCAGCTGTACACTTCCAGTGGGTGAACTGACGTCA